ATGAGCACTTGAGAAGAAAGTGTGTTGTGTTGTTTTTGGATGGAATGTCCTATAAATATCAATTAAGTCCATCTTGTTTAATGTATCATTTAAAGCTTGTGTTTCCTTATTCATTTTCATTTTGGATGATCTGTCCATTGGTGAAAGTGGGGTGTTAAAGTCCCCTACTATGATTGTGTTACTGTCAATTTCCCCTTTTATGGCTGTTAGTATTTGCCTTATGTATTGAGGTGCTCCTATGTTGGGTGCATAAATATTTACAATTGTTATGTCTTCTTCTTGGATTGATCCCTTGATCATTATGTAGTGTCCTTCTTTGTCTCTTGTAATAGTCTTTATTTTAAAGTCTATTTTGTCTGATATGAGAATTGCTACTCGAGCTTTCTTTTGGTTTCCATTTGCATGAAATATCTTTTTCCATCCCCTTACTTTCAGTCTGTACATGTCTCTAGGTCTGAAGTGGGTCTCTTGTAGACAGCAAATATATGGGTCTTGTTTTTGTATCCATTCAGCCAATCTGTGTCTTTTGGTGGGAGCATTTAGTCCATTTACATTTAAGGTAATTATTGATATGTATGTTCCTTTTCCCATTTTCTTAATTGTTTTGGGTTCGTTATTGTAGGTCTTTTCCTTCTCTTGTGTTTCTTGCCTAGAGAAGTTCCTTTAGCAGTTGTTGTAAAGCTGGTTTGGTGGTGCTGAACTCTCTCAGCTTTTGCTTGTCTGTAAAGGTTTTAATTTCTCCATCAAATCTGAATGAGATCCTTGCTGGGTAGAGTAATCTTGGTTGCAGGTTTTTCTCCTTCATCACTTTCACTATGTCCTGCCAGTCCCTTCTGGCTTGCAGAGTTTCTGCTGAAAGATCAGCTGTTAACCTTATGGGGATTCCCTTGTGTGTTATTTGTTGTTTTTCCCTTACTGTTTTTAATATATTTTCTTTGTATTTAATTTTTGATAGTTTGATTAATACGTGTCTCGGAGTGTTTCTCCTTGCATTTATCCTGTATGGGACTCTCTGTGTTTCCTGGACTTGACTACTTCCTTTTCCATGTTAGGGAATTTTTCAACTATAATCTCTCCAAATATTTTCTCAGTCCCTTTTTTTCCTCTTCTTCTTGTGAGACCCCTATAATTCTAATGTTGGTGCATTTAATGTAGTCCCAGAGGTCTCTGAGACTGTCCTCAATTCCTTTCATTCTTCTTTCTTTATTCTGCTCTGTGGTAGTTATTTCCACTATTTTATTTTTTTTAGCGGTACACGGGCCTCTCACTGTTGTGGCCTCTCCCGTTGCGGAGCATAGGCTCTGGACGTGCAGGCTCAGCCGCCATGGCTCACGGGCCCAGCCGCTCCACGGCATGTGGGATCTTCCCGGACCGGGGCACGAACCCGTGTCCCCTGCATAGGCAGGCAGACTGTCAAGCACTGCGCCACCAGGGAAGCCCTATTTCCACTATTTTATCTTCCAGGTCACTTATCCATTCTTCTCCCTCAGTTATTCTGCTTTTGATTCCTTCTAGAGAATTTTAAATTTCACTTATTGTGTTGTTCATCATTGTTTGTTTGCTCTGTAGTTCTTCTAGGTCCTTGTTAAAAGTTTCTTGTATTTTCTCAATTTTATTTCCAAGATTTTGGATCATCTTTACTATCATTACTGTGAATTCTTTTTCAGGTAGACTGCCTGTTTCCTCTTCATTTGTTTGGTCTGGTGCGTTTTTACCTTGCTCCTTCATCTGTTGTGTGTTTCTCTGTCTTCTCATTTTGCTTACCTTACTGTGTTTGGGGTCTCCTTTTCACAGGCTGCAGGTTCGTAGTTCCCATTGTTTTTAGTGTCTGCCCCCAGTGGCTAAGGTTGGTTCAGCGGGTTGTGTAGGCTTCCTGGTGGAGGGGACTAGTGCCTGTGTTCTGGTGGATGAGGCTGGATCTTGTCTTTCTGGTGGGCAGGACTGCGTCTGGTGGCGTGTTTTGGGGTGTCTTGGAACTTATTTTGATTTTACGCGGCCTCCCTGCTAATGGATGGGGTTGTGTTCCTGGCTTGCTAGTTGTTTGGCATAGGGTGTCTAGCACTGGGGCTTGCTGGCCGTTGAGTGGAGCTGGGTCTTAGCGTTGAGATGGAGATCTCTGGGCGAGCTCTCGCTGATTGATATTATGTGGGGCTGGGAGGTCTTTGGTGGACCTATGTCCTGAACTCGGCTCTCCCACCCCAGAGGCTCAGGCCTGACACCCCGCTGGAGCATGAAGACCCTGTCAGCCACATGGCTTTTGGGAAGTCTGAGGTCTTTTGCCAGCATTCAGTAGGTGTTTTTCAGGAGCTATTCCTTGTGTAGATGTATTTTTGATGTATTTGTGGGGAGGAAGATGATCTCCACGTCTTACTCCTCCGCCATCTGGAAGCCATGTCCCCTAGTCTTCGTGGACCAAGTTTCTCTTAATAAATTTAATGGTTTTCTGAACTGTATGTTCTCATGCTGCCTTCGCCTGGTTCTGCCTCCAGAGAGATCTTCCCTTAGTATCAAAAGTACCTCTTAATCCTGCTCATTTCTATGGGGTGAGGGTAGGTAGTGATTTAACTAATTGACTCTGAGAGGCGAGTGAGTTCACTTTCTCACCTTGATGTATCAGTATTTGATGATATTGATGACCCAGACAAATTTCTGAATGGTGAAAATTCAGGCAACATAACAATAATAAACAACCTGGGGTTGTGAAGTTCTTTTTCTCTGTATTTGATCCTTTTTTGAAAATCAAGGCAGTGAATCACTTATATAATGAAGAATGAAAATGAGGGGAGAGAAAAGAGTCTAGGATCTATGACTGGTCCTGGACGATTGATAACACCCATCACCCTGGGATATGTCGAAGGAAGAACAGCTACAGGGTGGACCGTGGCACGTCAGCTGAGATGTCTCGGGGGCGTTCATGATAGGTGTCCGTTAGGGGGTTGGGTTTATCAAGTTGCACCTCAGGTGGGAGGTCTTAGCAAGGGACATTGAGCTAGGACCCTTCAGTAAAGGCTGACTTCATGGGCTATGGTGAAATCACCTTTGAGGCAATGACAGTCCACTTAAGGAGCAACCGTAGCAAAGAGTCTCCAAGAGGTAGGGAGCCAGGAAGATGGGGTCAATGTTTGCTCACTGATCTGCCTGTTCTCACCTTCCTTGGCACTCTCGGCTGCTTTGGGTTTACTGATGACACCCTTAAAGAGAACATATTAGTCAATGACTAGCTGTTGTGAAATGCTCTTTTAATGTAACCACATAAGAAATCATTTGCTTATATTATTTTGTGACTGCATGATTGTGAAAACATGTCATTAGCAATGTCAGTCTGTCTTAAGTTTTAAATGGCTGTAATGCGTAACCTGGATCTTTATGTCTACAAGGTGCTTTAAAGCCTATTTCATTGTTCTCAGCTAGAACTGAGGCAAAATGAGTGCAAGTGGGAAACGTAGCATAGCTAGATCTTAGCACAAGCTGTCGTATGCAGAATGTCCTTTTACGTGACCTACTAACCCATGCACTCCAAGTAAGGTCTCTATTTAGCTAGCTGCAGCCATCGCCGGGGTTGGGCAGTCACCTGGGACTGAAATAGGACTGGGGGAGAAGTGAAACACAGGGAGAAATATAAGCCTGCTGGGGAGATGGTGGGATCAGCATGTGACTGGTTCGAGCCTCGAATCCAGTATTGGGGTGTATAGGTGGGTCAGGACCTGACCTTAAAACATTTGGGGGGCCCAAGTTGAAGATAACTAGTTTGAATTCAGTGAAATACTTAAGCATTGTTGTTCTGCATTTTGTTTTCACTGAGCTAAAACCCCATTTTTGAAAGAAGAGTTAAAAGTTTCAAATCAGATCCTCCAAACTTAATTATATCTGTTTTATCAGAGCATCCTATTTTATGGAAATATCTGCACAACAGTCACTTTCATGTTATATGATTTTTAATTCCCGATGGCTCTTAAATCATTTTAGCCTTGTATCATGTTCATTTCTCTATGTCTACATTTTGTGTTGGGTTGTGAGCTCCCTAAGGGCAGAGACAGTATTTGTGTATCTTCGCATCTCTGGTGGGCGGCCCCTGAGCACTAGATATTTGTTGATAAGCCCGTCAGTGACAGAGGGGGATGACATGGAAGGTGGGTGTGTGGCACGGCAGTGGCCGGGACCTGAGCATCCCCGAGGCCGCTGTGTGCCCTTCGAGTCAAGGTGCGAATTCTCCTACTGAGACCGTGTAAGTGGTGGCTGGTACACTTAGTCCTTCTTCAAAGTATCAACAAAGTCAGACATCAGGCAGACTATTTGGGGAGGAAAGAATGAGCGTAGGGAGCACAACGTAAAGTCGTAGCAGTGGATGAATCAAACATTTCACACTCCATTGTTGGCTACTTAGGGTTTCTACACCGTTTAGCATCTGACGAGACTGGATTTCACGTGATTAATATCTTCTTTTTGGTTTGTGTGTCTTCATGACAAGAGGTTGGTCTCAGGTGGAAGTCTGTGGGGACTAAAATCACCACCTGTCATTTGTAGATTGTAACCTGAAACTTTGTACTGAAGACTGTTGGCTGGAGTAACTCAGACTCACCCCAAAGCTAAGGTTACTTATTTCCTCTAATACAGAACTGCCTTCTCTGAGAAGCTGGGTTTTGGTCAGTATGTAAAAACCTAAGAATTGGAGTTTGAATAGTGCATAAGGTATAGGCATCATTTTGCATCATCACGGGATGCATGGGATTCTGTCGAACTGGTACATTTTCATGTGACAGGCACAGTTGTTTCTGACCCTTGAGTTAGTGAATTGCTTGGGATATTGGAGTGGAATAAACTGAATGTTCTAACTAGATCTCAACAAGCAAGGAGTATGCAATGTTTATTTTAAAAGGCTATACTTTCTTATTACCACAATGCATAAGTAAATTAATTAAAAGTTTTTTATTCAGCTTAAGTTGCATTAGTATTCAGTCCATGTAGAGTTCTAACTAATCTTCAACCCACTTGGGTTTTAGGTGTTAAAAGAGGACCAGCAAGGCATGATGTTTTGGATGGCTCACGGGAAGGCTTCAAGGATCTCGTCAGACCTCACGAGGAATCAAGGAAGAGAGAGAAAGGCCAGAGGTTGGTGTGTGAAAATATTGTTTGAAACTTTCCGATGCTGAGGCTTCATGATGTTCTGCTCTGGGTTAATGAAACATAAACTCCTCTGCCCAGCTTGTATTTGATTTTTTTTTTTTTTGTATTTGATTTTTAAAAATTAATTATGGGTGGATGTTGGGAAACTCTGACAATAAAACCAAGAACGTTGGTCACATTCAGGGCAGAGAATTACTGTTGGTGGAGCAGGCCTCCTCTTGCCCCTTTGCCAGCGCATTTCTCGCTTGTAAAAATGCCGCCAGCTTCCCTCGAGCAGGGAAGTTTGGTCGTGCCAGCAACTGCTGTTGTTCTGTAATCTGAATAAACAGTCACTAGGTAGGAGGTGAAGAACCCAACCATCTTCCATTTGTGAGCTAATCATGGTTTGACCCGAAGCCATCGGAGGGAAAGGTTTTTGTACTGAGGCTCGGGCACCCACTTCTCTGTGGCTGCAGCCTCGGAACCCGGCTCTTTCTCTGAGGCTGTATGGCGCTCTCATTGCCCTGGAGGCTTACTCGGATAATGTGGGGAGGACTTTGCATTTGTTGATTCTTCAGCATCTACCCTCATTGCTGAACTTTTGAATTAGCCACTCATTATCTTGGTACAGCTTTTGTACCTGCCCCGTGGGTGACCTCGGTAGAGAGCTGGTGCCCTGCGGCTGCATTTAGGTTTTGCTGCCCTGTGTTCCAGTCTTCTTCCTAGTTGCAGCATGGCCACTTAATGTTTTTCCTTTGGAAAAATTAAGAAAAAAACCTGTTTGGCATTCATTCCACTGATACTTATGAAGTGTGTGGTGCTATCTATGTCCTGCTTCTCCGGATGCGTTCCGTCAGTGCTGAAGGGAGTGATCACTGCTGGTTCGGTGTGAAAGAATCGCCTGGAGGACTTTTTTTCCCCAAACTCCTAATGTGCTTCTCACCACCCCCTCTTCCCCTTTGGTAAACATAAGTGTGTTTTCTACGTCTGTGAGTCTGCATTTTGTAAATAAATTCATTTGTGTCATGTTTTAGATTCCACATATAAGCGGTATCGTATGATATTTGTCTGTCTCTGTCTGACTTCATTTAGTATGACAATCTCTAGGTCCATCTGTGTTGCTGCAAATGGCATTATTTCATTCTTTTTTATGGCTGAGTAATATTCCATTGTATATATGTACCACATCTTCTTTATCCATTCATCTATTGATGGACATTCAGGTTGCTTCCATGTCTTAGCTATTGTAAATAGTGCTGCTATGAACGTTGGGGTGCATGCATCTTTTCGAATTAGAGTTTTCTCTGGATATATGCCCAGGAGTGGTAACTCTATTTTTAGTTTTTGAGGAACCTCCATACTGTTTTCCATAATAACTGCACCAGTTTACATTCCTACCAACGGTATAGGAGGGTTCCCTTTACTCCACACCCTCTCCGGCATTTATAACTTGTGGACTTTTTGATAATGGCCATTCTGACCAGTATGAGGCGATACCTCATTGTAGTTTTGATCTGCATTTCTCTAATAACTAGCGATGTTGCGCATCTTTTCATGTGCCTGTTGGCCGTCTGTGTGTCTTCTTTGGAGAAATGTGTATTTAGGTCTTCTGCCCCTGGAGGACTTTTTAAATGTGCAGATTCTCTGGACCTACTTGAGACCCTCTGAGTTGGCATTTCCCAGGTGATGTTTACATCACAGCAATGAGCTATGAAAGCCCCACATGGAGTAGAATCTCCTTCTTCACAAGAAAGAAACCGGTACTCGGGGCAGAAAATTCACCGTGGGTACCACGTCTCCCTCAGGGCAGAAGGAACAGAACCTGGATCTACTGTCTTCCATGTGGCCTTCTTCCTAATCCATTTCTTATCCCCATTCACTGCACAGCCTTTTCTCTGATGTATCGAGAACTCGCCACGCCTGAGGGCAGTGGCCCCCAGCGTTGCCCCACATTGCAATCACCTGGGGATCTGAATTTTGTTAAGATTCCTGGCTCACACCCCCAGACAGCCTGATGTCATTACTATGGGATGCCTCTTGGGCACTAGGATTTTTTAAAACTCCTGAGCTAATTCTAACATGAAGCAAAGTTTGGAAACCACTTTTGTGCCTTAGGGACTTTGTCTAGCATAGTTCAAACAAGTAATTTATCCTGGAAGAAGTTCTGTTTGTTTCTAAACACGTCTCATATAAACTGATTTTATTGTTTAGACTTGTAAAAAACAAAGACAAAAACTTAAAATCCTGATTTGTTTGCTTATGGGATAAGCGTTTTTAAATTTAGATACCAATATAGAGATGAATGGTCATGGTCTATCATTGCACAGGTTAAAACAAAGGACAATAGAAATTTCTTAAAATGCAATTTAAAAGTTTAAAGATACAGCTTCCTGGCAGTTTGAGATCTTGGAGTATGGGTGTGGGGAGTGGAGTTTATATTGTTATGTTATAGCAAGTCAGCAAAAACACTAAGTTTAGTTGACTGGTATTAAAAGTCTACCATGGAGCTGCACAAGGATTGTGAATTGGTGAATTAAATACAGGTCTCTGATCTGTAACTTACAAATATAATGTTAGTCTTGAGGGTTATGATAGTATCCAGTCATTCCCTTTTTTCCCTACCAAAACTGAGGTCTTACCTGCTTGCTTTTGTTCCTTATTAGATTTCAAGACAACCTGTGTTAAACTGAAATTTCAGACTTTTTAACATAGTCACGTTTTTATGTATAAGTATATATAAGGGATTAGATTCCATCGAGCACAACAATTGTTGACATTTCCTAAAAAATATCTTGTAATTGGATTTTAATGTTGAGTAAAGCAACTTTACAGGAAATATCTTTCATCAGCTAATAATTAAAGCACGTGCCTCTACTGAAATGGAGAACTGTTGGGTCTAGAGTATAGGATTGCATTTTTACATTTTCACATGGGAGCTAGCGTCCATGCTGTTTCCGTCAATATGAAAATGGTTTGAAGCGGATGTGTCCGAGGACCCTAGTGATCTTTTTAATCTTAAACTTGACGTAGCACCTACGGGTAAGCCCTGGGCAGCCCTGCAGAGCAGGCCTGTGAAGCTGTGAATCCTAAGTTCTGTGCTGTGTAACAGTGCAGTGTGGAAAGTGGGCAGCCTGTGGGTAGGGACCACAGCCTGGGTAGGAGGTGTGGCCTGGGAAGGATGCTGGTGCATCCAAAAAAGATGCTGAAATCAGCCCCAGCAGGTTCTGGGTGAACTCTTCTCATTCTTGGTTTGCTGTAGTTTTGCTGCAACTCTGCCCGAGTGTTGCTTTTGTCATCAGCCTGCTGCAGGTCGTAGGTCTTCGGGTCTGCCATCTGCTTTGGAGAAGTCTCATTTCTCTTTCTTCCACTTCTGGAAATTCACTCACATGTGTTACCTGAGCCTTCTGTATCCCATGCCTCATGATTTTTCTATATTTCTATATTTCTCTCCTTTTTTATCTCCTTATTTCATTCTGGGTATTTTCTACTGATTTCCCTTTCACCTCTCCCTCTTTATATTATAGGTGTACTCTTATGATAAACCTATATATTGCATTTGAAAACTTCATTATTGTATTTTTCAGTTTTTGTTATTCTATTTGGATTTTTAAAAATTTCTAGCTTTCTGCCAAAATTATTAATTTTGTCTTTTATTTCTTTATGCATAATTAGCATATTTATTTTGAAATCTAAACCAGGTGACTCCATTTTCTGGCTCCCTTAGTTTCTGTCTTTATTATCTGTTGTTTCTCTTAGTTTTCTGTCGTACGTTCCTCTAATATGCTTTATTATTTTGGGCACGTCTTCCTACCAGGAGTTGAGATGACCTGAGGCTGAGCGTCTCTCTCTGTGAGGCCAGCTCTCCCCTTGCTCACCTGAGGGTTTCTCTTCCTCCTGTGATTCACTGTCTTATCAGCTCAGCAGTGTCTCCAAATCGTGGGTTTGTGTCCGTCCAGCTTTACTAACTGTTCACGATGGGGAGGTTGTTCCGAACTACTTAGTCGATCCTTCCTGGAAATAATGGGTGAATTTTAATGGCCATTAAAACAGTTTTTTTTTCTCTAATTAGAGATGGGATAAATCCTTCTCTGAGAAAAGAACAATGAGAGACCAAGTCAGCAGAATTTTTCAGATGAACGTGCAAGTCATTGGTTGCAAAAGACACACTAACCATCTCTTAAAGAGGGAAAACAGATATAATTCAATAAAGAATTACAAAATCTCAGAGCTATAATTTCCATTAGTGATTATTTGGTTTAGTACCCACTTTTAGTGGGAAGAGTCATTTTGTACACCAGTGGGAAACTATCTTTTTTAGACTTATTACTTTTTTTTTTTTTGCGGTACGCGGGCCTCTCACTGTTGTGGCCTCTCCCGTTGCGGAGCACAGGCTCTGGACGTGCAGGCTCAGCGGCCATGGCTCACGGGCCCAGCCGCTCTGCAGCATGTGGGATCCTCCCGGACCGGGGCACAAACCCGCGTCCCCTGCATCGGCAGGCGGACTCTCAACCACTGCGCCACCAGGGAAGCCCAAGACTTATTACTTTTAACATATGCTTATAAATTCATTGAACCTTTTATATTTTGAGACTCCAGTTAAGCAATATCATCACCTCCATAATCTTAGCTTACAATACATGGGTCATTGACAAGGAAATCTATTTCTGCCATCTTTTCACAGGGAGAAATATAAAATGTTGACAGATCGTAGCCTGTCTTGTTAGTTGCTTGTTTAATATTGTCAGACATAGAACCTGAAGAAGGTAAATATAACATTAATGCTAGTGACACGGTGAATGCATATGAAAATGTGGGGGTTTTCCTCCAAAGTGTTTATTCTACTACTTCTGTTATTCTTGTTATTTTTGTTCAAATATTATTATCCTTAACAAAATTTTTCTTTTTTTAAAAAATTAATTACTTAATTAATTTTTGGCTGCATTGGGTCTTCTTGCTGCGCGCGGGCTTTCTCTAGTTGCGGCGAGTGGGGGCTGCTCTTCATTGC